GGTCTCCCAGGTGAGTGTCCCATGGAGCCTGCACCGGAAGCAGGTGGACAAGGAGCCAGCCCTCGCCTCCCTGATTCAGTTTTCACCTGCTTGAATGCTGTGGCTCCGTCATCCAAGCCCACCTTTTATCTTAGTTGGAACCTAGGTGTATTTTCAAAGGCTAAGGGGATTTGCAAATGCCTTTGTAAAGCTCACACTGAGAGCTTCCTGACAAAAAGCATTTCAGGAAACCACTCCCAGCGTGACATGCACCCCCGACAGAGCCCATGCCAGCCTTCAGGAGAGGCCTGGGGGGTTCCCCACAATCCCTGGGGCCCCCCTGCACTGTGGGTTCCTTCTTTGATTTCTGCCTGGAGCCCAGATGTTCTCAAGCAGGAGGTTAAACAAGACTGTCGCTTACCCAGCAACCAGAAGAAGAGTAAACGAGGTGCGCAGTCAGGAGCTGTCACCAAGCCCTCAATAGGGCTCCAGGGAGCAAGAGGGGAAGCCAAGGGCTGCAGGCCCCCTGGAGCCCCACAGCTGCTCTCCCATCTGGGATCATGCATTTATCTGGGTTACGCTCCGTGGAGCACTCCCTGAGCGCCAAGGTGGCTGTCCCCTCAGTGTCCCTTGCTCTAGTGAGAATTGCCAATGTCCCGATTTTATAAATGGACTTGAGGGGAGCCTACACACAGCTTCTACAGCCCCTCACAGCACAGGGGCCCCACCTGGATCCAGTCCTGTGGGCTCGATGGGGGAAGGACATGGCCCCCGCCTGCAAGGAGGTTCCAGTTAAGTGACTGTCCACCTGCTGTGGTTTCCGAGCACAGGCGCCAACTCCCTTCTCCCCAACCAACAGAAGGAGCCAGTCCATCTCTCCCGCCCCAAAAGCCTTCCCTCCCTCCTCTTTTTCTGACGGCCGATCCCCCCAGCACAGAGGATATTTTTAGCGCCTGTGACAACGTGTTTACACGAAGACCATTGAGCAACATGGTGATGTGTCTCTTCCCCGCACGGCCCTTGGACATTGTACACAGGACAGTGCTTGCCAAATGGACGTCACATGCTGACTTCGGTTCTTCCATGTCCTTCCTCCGCCTCCCCACGATCCAGGTCGGAAAGGGCAGGCGGCTATCTTGGTGGGGCGAGCTTGCTCGGCTTAACCTGGGCCACACAGGCGGGTCAGCAAGCACATGGGCTGGCTGTGAGCCACACCGATCAGGTGGCCTGTCCCAAAGGTAAAGGAGCCCGACCTGGAATCCCCCCTTTCCAGTTCTTCAAAAGCTGAAGGCAGGCATGACAGGGCTGATGTCCGAGAGGGCTGAAGAAGAGAGAACTAATCCCCAAGGGGGCCCAGGCCCGTGTCCACCCAGCAGAGTGGTCAGCTAGCTAGCTGTCCATCATGTTTATCAACCCAGCAGCCGGGGCTGGCTCTGCGTGGCTGAGACAAGTGGACCAGCGGTGCCGGCCTGCATCCATCCATCCATCCTTGGCCCTGGACATGCCAAGATGTACCTGGCACAGGTGGGTTTTTCAATACGTCCCCATGAGGAATGACTCACACACTCCTGTTCCCCAAGGGGCTCCCAGTCTAACAGGGAAGAGGCACCACGCCACTCACACAGGACACACGGTGTGGTCAAGGCACACATGGGGGTGTTTTGGGGGTACAGTGGGAGAATGGGGTGCAAGTGGGGGGAAAGAATTCCCAGAAGAGGTGACACTTGAGTTGAGTTTTGAAGAGGGATGCTTTAGGAAGATACGAAGAGAATGGTGTGTTAGGGGAGTGGGGGAGGTGCATGGAAACCACCCACCCCAAGTCCTGGAGACACAAAGAAAAGTCCTTCATTGAAAGTGAATGTTCTTTATCTCTATAGCTACGGTCATAGCCAGAGCCATGTCTATAATATATATCTCTGTATTTGTGTGTAAGTGCCTGACAATTAGCCATTTTTACTGTAACGTGCCTGACACTAGCTTTTGATTGCCCATCTCAAAGGCATCCATCTGGAATAAACACATTGCTGGCTACGTAACCAGATAAGCAGCCAGGCCTCCCTACCCATGAGGCTCCCCCTTTCGAAAGTCTTGGTTAACCTAGATAGTCAACCATTTGAATGACCCCCTGCTTTTCCCTTCTTGTACCCTAATTCCCTCTCTTATTTAAATTCACCAATAAAGAGTAAACCTATGGAAACCCTAGGCCCCCACTCTTGGCCCCAATAAAGGCAGAACCCCATCTGGTTTTCTTCCTCTCTCTCCCTCTCTCTCTCTCTGAACCTGTGATGTCATTGTGTGACCCCGGGTGTGCCATGTGCCCTCCAGGATGTGTTGGTTTTTTTCAGTCTCCTCAGAGGGTGTTTCTGAGGTGCATTTTGCAATTGTAATATGAATTCCAAGGGCTGGTCCAGGCACATCACTGACTCTGGCCTGGGGAGCGTCTATGGGGGCTGTCACCACTAGTCCCGGGCCAGGCGAGTGCTCCAGGCCTTCCTAGGAGAGACTAACACAGCACAGTATATATAACACTAGCGGTCAGGGATTGCTATGTGTCTAGCAGGGTTCTAAGCGTTTTTACATACATCAGCGGATTTAATCCACACAGCAACTCTGTGGGGTTGGTGCTATTGCCATCGACGGTGTCCATTTTGCAGGTCAAGAGAGGTTAAGTGGTTTGCCCCAGCAGAGCAGCCATGGCGATAGTGTGATTGGGACTCAGCCATCTGTCTTCAGAGGCCACGCTCCTAGGACAGCAGTGGTGAGGCCAGGGGCCTTGGTGGGGCCTGGGCCATGGTGAGCCTTGTCCGTCCGAGGATGGAATTTGGACTGTCCCAGAGCCACAGGGGACATGGCATTAAAAGGAAGAAGGAAACAAGTGGATACCCTTTCGATACAAAGGTTATTGGGAAAAGCCTCAACGCTTATGAGCCAGGCGTGACTAGAATAAAAATTAGTGTTTGCAGGATGACTCAATCCGTACGTTTGGCTTCTAGAAGTACATAGGAAGTTTCCATGCTTTGGTGGCCCCTCTGTCTCTGTGGCATTAGTATTGTCAAGGGCTGTGGGCCTGGCCACCACAGCTACCCCTGGACTGCCCATCCTTTCATGGAAGAAATGTCTTTGCTATATAGGCAGACATGCTCCCCGAGCTGGCAGGGAGCGCGGCCCTGCCCCTGTCCTCACAGCCCCCCACACCCAACCACAGGGTGGCCTGGCTATAAACAATATTGATAACATATCTGTCATTTAGTCAGCATTTACTACTGGCCAGGCACTGCACCCAGTTTTTTGAGTCGCTGTCTCATTTCATTCTGAAAAACCTTGGCAGGTGGGGACTATGGTTGTCACCTTTCTTACAGATGGGGAACTGAGTCACAGACACGCGGAATACCAAGCGGTGGAGACAGGCAGGTGGAGGTGGGCACCAGGCTCATCTCACTCACTCCAGGGTCCGATCTCTTGAACCCGCTACAACGTGCACATCCCTGCGGGGTAGGGGTGGTGGGCGGCCGGTCCCACTTAATCCAGAGAACACAGTTCAGCCGGCAAAGACACACAGCTGCAAGCGCAGAGCCATCCAGGAGCTTGTTCTGAGGAGCATGGATGGGGCCCTTGCTTTCCTCCCTGTAGCCCGGCTGTCAACCAGGGCTGGATTTTTGAGCCTCCTGGGAGGGCGTTCACTGCTGCTGCTGGCTGCTATGGTTTGGGCCCTGACCTTTCTAGAAGATGGTAATGATGGGAGGGATGCCTGCAAAGCCCCCTGCTAACAACTGTGATGAGCCTGCACTAGGAAGTCCAGAAGGTCTGTGAGTCCCCCGTGGTGTCTGTTTTACAAATAAGGCAACAGGTGCTGGGAGGGACTGGATCTGAGAGCACCGGGGACCAGCGGGCACTGCTGAAAGGTAGGCCTAGTGCAATGTGCAGGGGTGAAGTACAGGCCCGCAGAGCAGGGAGAAGGCCGGGTTGCAAGCTACACAAGGTCGAAACCGTATGCTCCTCACCACTGTCGCCCCAGGACCAGGCATGTAACCAGCACTCGATAAAATCGTGTGGAATGGATCTGTGAATGAACAAGCCTGTTCTAACCGTCCAGGTCAGGGAACCAAGGCTGAGAGTGTGCTCAAGCACGGTGCACACACACATACAGTTAATGCTTGCTCTAATTTT